CAGAACCCATACGAGCTTTTTTTTTTTTTTTTTTTTTTTTTTTTGTCTTTTTTCCGTGTCCGGCAATGGATCGCAACCCTCAGTGTCGCCCCCGTACCGGACCGGGACCAGCAACGGGATCGCAACCCTTGGTGTTGCCCCCGCGCCTCGCTCAGCCAGTGAGCAGGAACCGGTCTGTATGTGGGATCCGAACCCTCGGCGGGAGCGCCTCCACGCTTCCCAAGCGGCGCACTAGCACAGTGCGCCACTGGGCCAGCCCCATACGAGCTTTTTAAAAAAGTAAATCATTAAGCAGTGTCCTTAAAAGTAATTATCTTAAGTGGTTACATACTTATTGTTCAAACCAGTTATGTGGTGCACAACGTCTTACTGGTACTACAACTATTAAGTGGTTTTTATTTCAAAAGTAATGACAAGATTTTTAAAAAATTATTTTCCTAGAGGCACAAGCATCATGAGTCATCAAGAACCTGGGCTGGCAAGGCAGTTCACCCGAGCCAAGCATTAGGGCCCAGAGGCAGACCTCTGGGTCAATAAACGGGAAACTTGGTGGGCCATCTGGCAGAGAGCAGGAGTTTTTGAGAAAGTGCATCAACCAGTCTTTGGCAGAAGTGGACAGGAAGTGTGTTGGTTCCCTGAGAGAAGGAAGATGGCTTTATAAAGTACAAAAGTAAGTACCAGTAAGGCTACCCTTGGATGTTTCCAGGGTTTCTCAACCTCTGCACCAGCAACATTTCAGGCCAGATAACCCTTTGTTGTGAGGGGCTGCCCTGTGATGTTTAGCAGCCTCCCTGGCCTCTACCCACTAGATGACAGGAAGAGCAACCCCCTCTCTTTGTGACAACCTAAAATGTCTCCACACACAAATGTCCAAACGTCCACTGGAGAAGAGCTTCACTAAAGGATAGAGCTAGACTTAATTGGCTAATGAACATTCCCACAGACCCACACACAGGTCCAGAAATGGATTGGGACAATTTGCCCAGTGAATAAAGACCTGCTGGGCCCCTCCCATTTCAGAGTTTAGGCTCTTTTGGGGCATTATATATTAAATCCTTAAAAATGAGCATAAACCTTGACCAAGCAATTTCACTTTTAAGTTTTTTTTATCCTAGGGAAATAATTATGGATGCTTTAAAAAATTGGCTACAGAAAAATGTTTAATTCAAAAGTATTTTTAATTGTGAAAATTTAGCAATATACTAAATGCCCAGCAATAAACAGTCAGTTGAAGAAACTACTACAGCCATACAATGGAATAAATCATGCAACATTAAAAATGTTCCTGAAGGGCCGGCCCATGGCTCACTAGGGAGAGTGTGGTGCTGATAACACCAAAACCACGGGTTTGGATCCCTATATAGGGATGGCCGGTTGGCTCACTTGGGAGAGCGTGGTGCTGACACCACCAAGTCAAGGGTTAAGATCCCCTTATTGGTCATTTTAAAAAAAAAAAAAAAAATGTTCCTGAAGTATATTTAAGGACATGAAAACATTGTTCTTAATAATCCTACAGAACAGCAAGGTAGAAAAAGTACAATCCCATTTTTATATTACATACACACATACATGATACACAAGAAAAAAAAAGCTTCAAAGAATAAACACCGAAGTATTTCAAATATTAATGTCTTGGTAGGAGAATTACAGGGTTTTTTTTTTTTTCTACAATTCATGTAAATTTCCTATGTAATTAGTATTTTTAATCCTATGTATCTACAAATTCTACGTTTTTGCAAGGCAGTTTTGGGTATTAGATTAAAAAGATGCTAAAAAGTGTTTAAGACATAGATTTGAAAACATTTATGTAATCTTTGTAGAGAAGTTTCTTGAGAAGATTGAAACTGTTATACTATTGTTCATTTTTTAAAACCAATAACATAAATAACATAGTTTTTTATAATAATAAATAACATAGTTAAGACAAAAGGCATGGAAGCCATAGTGCTTAGGTTCAGAACATGGCTCCATCACTTACTAGCTATGAGGTTCCTGACAAATATCTCTGTGCCTCAGTTTCCTCATTTATAAAGTAGGTGCATAACCATACCTGTGTTACAGGGCTGCTGAAAGAATAAATTAGTCAATATTTGTAAAATGCTTGGAGCAGTGACTAGCATGTAATATATATCAATATTAGTTTTTATTTGCTATCGTTACTTTATACCAGAAAAAAAAAACTTGATTATTAAGGAAGATCTTATTATGAAAGACACACAGAAATCCAGGAATCCAGCATCATTCTTATAAAACATTACCTATAAAAAATTTCAGGTCTGAGACAGAGCTGATGAGATTTTAAAGCAAAGGTACATCCGTGAACTAGGTCATGAAACAACTGGGAACAAGAACTATTAAAGTAATAATCATGGTTTTAATAATAGACAGCAAAGATTTGTTCTACTGGTTAAAAAAAATATATATGAAAACACTGCTTTCAACCAACTTATTCTAATATGGTTATCTCCCAAAAAGTAAAAAAGAGAAAAAATTACATTTACTAGATATGACTAAACCAGTGTTTTTCAAACTGCATGCTATAACCCATGGGCAGTAAAATCAATTAAGTTACATCTAAAATCTTTTGTTCAATAACACAGAACACCATCAAACAGAAAAGAAATCAGAGGTCATCACACACAGTAATGGCAAGAACTACTTCATAATATTTTTGTAGTAATTAAAATGTACAACTGTGTGTCTCTTGTAGTGTGGTATAAAATGTATTTCTTACTGTGTGTCATAGTCAGAAAAGTTGGGAAAATGCTGTTCTTTCACTTACTAATATGTAACATTTTATATATAAATCTAGATAAAATCTTACACTTATTTTGCTTTTATAAATTTTATAATTCATATTAATAAAGTATACAATGGAGAGCAATATAAAATTAGCTGAAATTCTCTGGTGATTTAAAAATATATTACAAATATAAAATGGTTAAGGATTGTAGAGTTTTAGACAATAATTTTAAACTCAGTTGAAAGAAAAAAATTACCTATTTCTGTCTAGCATTTGAAAAACAGGGAACAGAGATCATGGAATTTTCTTTATTAGAAGTTCCAATACCAGAAAAAGCAACCTGACGTGGCAAATAGATCACTGGCTTCAGAATCTGACAGCCCAGGACAAGAATCCCCTGTCCACATCTTACTAGCTCTGTAACCTTCACCGTTACCGTCTCAGGCTGGTTTCCTCGTACTTCACAAGGTTTTAAGTATTAAATGGAAGAATGTACATCAGGCATGTAAGACTATGACTCACATACAGGTGGTCAAAAAATATAAACCTTTTTTCTCATAGTTCCTAAACTTACAAAATGTCAAGTTTATTACACGGACAAGGATAACCTCAAAGTTCATCTTGTGCATCAAGACATATTCATCTTCATCAAATCATACCTTGAAGATAAACCGGACAGAGCTTTCTTGAGAATCTTAGGGGTTCTATCTGAGGATGATGAAATTTCTGGAATATCAGAATCTGTTCTGGAATCCAAATCTCCATATCTGTCATCAACATCTGTTTCCTAAAATTAAAGAAAAAGGGAAATCAATTTGCAAAATAATTTTTAAGAAAGCACATGCTTGCCAATGCATTTATTTATTGCTCAGTGTTGTCAAATCTCAGTTACACAATCTAGAACAAAAAACGGCTATTAATTTACCTTGAATACCCAAGCACTGTTATACTTCCTTAGTAGGAAAGTTTCATTGTGTTTGCTAAAATCTTTCAATATAAAGGATTAACTTAAACAGAAGACACAAAAGAAGCCATTTATTTTCTAAATAGGAAGTTTAGGAAAGAATAAAATATTTGTTTTGCTACTTAACTGAGAAAACATGGTGTTATTTCCGTGTACATTCTAATCAGCTGTTCACAGACCCTTTTTATTTGATTATAATCAAGGCATCAACAGTAAGAGTAATACCTTACACAGGCAGAGCATTTTATATATATATATATATATTTAAGCATTTTAATGTACTTTAGTTTTATTTGACCCTCAAGAGATAATCCCAAAGAAGCAGGTCAAATAGACATTATCATTTTTATTTTACTGATAGGTAAACTATGATCAAAAGTGTTTGCTATAGTGGTAAGATTTTTTTTTTTTTTTTAGTTATTTAAAACCCAAACTGACTACTAAGAGTACAAGTACAGGAGCTGTGTGGGTATGCTGGGGGTGGTGGAGAGCTCCAGACCTTTAGACAAAGCTGGTCACTTTAGAATTTCCAGGTATAGGGTGGCCAAGGCAATTTTAAGAACATAGACGTCCTCTAATACTCAGTTTTGAAGTTGTTTGTTCTGCTGTAATACAGTGGTCTCCACTCTCATGTCTTCCCCTCGACCCCCCACCCCCTTCACCCCACCATGGCAACCTTCAGTAAAGAGTGCTAAACATACAAATGCCTTAGGAAAGGCATTTACAAAGGAGAAAAGTGAAATAAGGGGGCTGTACTGGGCTAGAGGAAAGAGAATATTCACAGAAGGCAAATACAAGTAGATAGAGCATTGACCAGAACGTTGGGCCAGAAATGATCCTAGGAATGAAAGCGCCTAGGAATTCAGAATGTTGAAGAATCTCAACCCAAACTAGGCCCTTATTAGCTCCAAAGCTTTCACAAAATTCATCACCCCTTCTAACAGTTTCTTCATCCATAAAATTAAGCATTTAATATAATGCCAAGAACTTAGTAAATTCAAAGAAATGGAAAGCTATCGTTATGACTGAATCAAGTCTTCTAATTCCTCATCAAGTGGCTTACCCAACAAATGTTAGCCCTTGGGAAGTAATTTTCCATTTTCATAAAGCAACAATAAACTTTAGTTTATGAACTGTAACTTTTTAATTAAACAATTATGAAATCAAATGTGTCATTGTACCGAAAATGATAAATGAAATAGACATGTCAAATTCCCACTGTGATGCTGAGTCAGTTGGCCCCTGATGGAGTTTGGATGTGTTGTCCCCTCCAAAACTCATGTAGAAATTTGATCTCCAATATGGCAGTGTTGGAAACTGATTGAGTCATGGGGGCGGATCCCTCATGAATGGATTAATGCTCTCCCTGGGGGAGGAGGGATTATTGAGTGAGTTCTCGCTCTATTAGTTCCCACGAGAGCTCGTTCCTTAAAAAGACCCTGGCACCTCCTCTCTCTCTCTCTCTTGCTTCCTCTCACCATGTGATCTGCTTGTACCCACCGGCTCCCTGCCACTTTCCACCATGAGTAGAAGCAGCCTGAGGCCCGTGCCAGATGCAGCTGTCCCAGAATCGTAAGCCAAATAAACCTCTTTCCTTTATAAATTACCCAGTCTCAGGTATTTCTGTTATAGCAACACAAAACAGACTAAAACAGCCCCAAAGCAGCTTAACCAAAGAAATGTTGACCAATAAACAACCAGACAGAACATCCCCTCAGAAAATGTCAGAGCACCTGCTGCGTCAGCCTGACACACCACCAGGTCTTTGACATCTAGAATAATGGAACACATCACTTCTTTTTATTTTTTCCTGCCACTCTCTTCACCTTCAATAACCCAGAGTGTTGAGAGGGGTGTGTGAGTGGTAGTGGAAATGGTGACGAATGGAAGTGGCTCTCTAAGGCAACATCACAATGTTACAAAAGAGCACAAAATTAGGAATCCAGAGTTACCAGTACTAATTCCATCTCCAGGCTAACTAGCAATGTGAAAAGGGCAAATCATTTAACCTCAAGGAAATTCAGGCTTTGGTTTCTTCATTTGCAAAATAGAAGTATTGTGCTAGAATTCAAATTGTGCTCCTCAAAACACTAAAGTTTTCTGCAAGCCACTTCAAAGTCCACTTGGCAATGATGAAGGTGTGCCATGACCTCCCCTCCGCACCCTCAACAAAGCTATCCCACTTTCATTTACGTTTTTTAAGCTTCTGATTTCTATTTTATATCCTTTAGAGAAACACAGAATTTGAAAACCTCAAGATTTAACTAAGCTTCTTCAATTTCATTCTAATAACTAAAGAATAAAAGATAATTCCTACATAGTGGAATGTTAGAGCAATGTTACTCAACTACCAGAATTAGCAACAGGGACCTTTGTTTTTCTGTATTCCATGCACGGACTCTCTGTTACAAAGATGTGACTGGAGATCAAGGGAAAGAAGGAAGTAGTACTTTTAAAATCAAATACAGCCATGAGGCATTGTTCATGCTGAAGGAAGTTATTGAAAATAAGAACCAAATTAGGAGCTGCTGCTTCTCAAACCCATAAAAATTTAAAGAGGATGATCTTCAACTTTCCATCTGGGGCCTGTGTTTTCCCACTGCCCACCAGGTGATTTCATGTACCCTCAGTTTCCTTTTCCATCTCTATACACTGATGACTCCCCATAAACCTCCATCTCTAGCTCAAGATATGCCATCTCCAGGTGGGTTTTCCACTAGCATCATCAGAAATTCACCATAAGCAAACAGACCTCTAGCTCTTCCACATCAAGGCCAACGCCTCCTTCTGTATTTCCTACTTTGGAGAAGATACCACCAACAACCCAGTCAACCAATTACTCTGGTCAGAAACTTGGCATCAACTTAACACTTCTGTCTCCTTTAACCAACACATTCAGTCAGCACCAAGCCTGTCATGTGTCTTTCCCTCCATCTCCGTTCCTACCTACCACTCCCACCGTTGCTGAACATCATCCTCTCTCACAACACCTCCTACCCACTCTAATCCACTGTCCACCGTGCAGCCAGAAAACTCTTTCTAAACCGCAAATCTGATCTTAACACTCCCCTACCAAAAACCACCAGGGTGAAATCAAACTACTTAACATCGCTTTTACTGTTTTTCATGAAGAGACAGATGGACCCTTATCTGGCCCTCTTTGATGACCAATTTTCACACAGTGCCACTCTCCCTCCTGCATCTAGATGTTTGTTCGATGTACAAAGTACAAAACGGAGTTCTCTCACTTCCACACATCCTCTGTTCTAAACTTCCCTGCCCCAGTCCTCAAACCTGGCTACTGCCAGGTCATACTCTGGTCATAATCTTTTTTTTTTTTTTTTTTGGTATTCAGTAGTTGCTTTCATTTCTCTTTTCTGATCTCTTTGTAATTTGTTCATTTATTATTATTTTTTTACACTCTAAGATGTTGCAGATCAGTTGGGAGGATGGAGGGGGGAAGAGGAAACAAAGACAGGGTGGGAGGAGGAGGAAAGAGGAAGGGCAGGGCATGGTCAAGGCCAGTGGCACCCTCTTATTCTGGCAGGAGAGCCCATGGGGCTTCTGATGGCAGCGTGGTGGTCGTCATTGGTCTGGAAGTGGACATCAGGGGGCGTGGCTGAGCCCTTCAGCCTCCCAACGCCACTGCTCAGGAGCCCAGGGTGCTTCCAGTGGGGCCTGGCTGAGGCGCTTGGTCCCTCCCTGCCCTGGCTTGGGACCGGGCACTTCTGGCAGCCTACTCTGGGGATATTCTGACCTCATCTTTAAGGTAACTTCCTTTAGCAATCTCCTCCCTGACCCCCAGCTCCAGGTTAGCAGCTCTTCAACTGTTTCCACAATTCTCCTTATTTACCTATTAGTGTAATTAAAATTATCTGTCTGCTTGTCTGTATTTTCCAGCAGTCCATAAACTTTGTGAGGAGAGAAAATGTTGACCACTGGCCTCACTCTTGCATCCAAAGAGCCCAGCAGGGAACTTTGTATAGTGGCCGGTATTTATTAGACACTAAATAAATGTGTGTTAAATGAACTGAGTCTACAAATTCATGCTAACATTTAAGATTAAAATCAGAAGTTCTCAACTGCTTTTGCTAGGTGAGTAATCTTAGGCAAGTCGCCTTGCTTAGCCTTGGGTCCCCTTCTGTAAAATGAGGACTTCTGATTAGAGGGACTACTATTGTCCAACTATAAACTTAGAATGAAAATATATCTGGTAAATCATATCTGAAAGTTGAAAAAATAAAACTTTATTACCTGTAAATCTAGTTCCCACAGTGAAAGAATACTTAGAAAAAAAGAGCAAAGCACTTTACAAATATTGATTAATTTACCCCTATCATTACAAAGATGTAAATAAATAAATTTATTTTATTTTTTCACCTAATTTTGTAGGTGAAAAAATTTAGGCTCAGAGATGTTAAGTAAAGCACTCAAGTTTACACAGCTCTAAGTAATATAGCTGGGATTTGAAACCATGCAGGAGGGAGGTTAGGATAATAATTTTCCCTTCATTGATCTATAGATTCAATGCAATCCTAACAAACATCCCAGAAGGCATTTTTTTCATAGAAATTTACAGGTTGATTCTAAATTTTTATGATAACACAAAGGATACAGAAGAGCCAAAACAACCTTGAAAAAAGAATAAAGTTGAAGGACTCGGACTCCCAGTTTTCAAGAATTCTTATAAAGCTACTATAATCAAGACAGTGTGGTACTGGCATAAAAGACAAAATGAAAGAAAATAGAGTCCAGAAATAAATCTACACATATATGGTCAACTGATTAACAACAAAGCTGTAAAGGTAATTCAATAGATGGTG